CCATTTTGCATTCTTTGTTTCAAATCACACCTTTTTGTATCTCTTTTCTGTTATTGACCTCACTTGATGTGAAAGAAAAAATGTATTATTTAAAGAAACAATGGCTCCCAAACGAAGCATACGCAACATTATTTTTTTCATTCTCGTTTTTCTACTCATTTTTTATCACACATTTTTCAATAAAATAATATTTTTCATCATATCAATAACTTCTCCTTCTTTTTTAACCACACATTCTCCATCAATTTACTATTTCAAAATACATTCTTCCAAAATAATGTGGATCAAACACACCATAAATGATCATTTCTTTAAATTTCAATAACTTAAATTTCGTTTATCTGAATTAACTTTTTCTTGAATTTAAAATAGATGATTAAATACGAACTATCCAACAAGCTCAATATAATATTGATATACATATTATCACTCTATTAATATTTAAATATTTGATCCAAATAAAATTGAATTTTACGTTGATTAAAATTTTAATGTGATTTCACTATCACAATTGTTGCTAAAGCATCAATCGAGCATAATGGTAATATTCTTCTAAGACACAAGTCTAATCAAGTAACACATCATGAACCAAGTGAGTCAAAGACGTCTCCTATTTTTGTTCCATATGATGAGAGAGTCAAAGACGTCTCCTATTTTTGTTCCATACTATGACAGAAATAGTAACCCAATCTAGCATATTAAATTATTAATATTTTGAAGAGTCTTGCATTGAATTATGAGGTGGGCCAACATGTTTAGCTAGAAAGTCTCCTGTACACGTGCAATTCTCCACTCTTGCTAAACATTGTCAAGAACGTTTTGCACATAGTAATGTCATCAACGAGGCAACGCGAGGTGGGGCGAGCAATTCCCCGCCTTGTTACCCGTTTAAAGCGGGTCACGACGGAACAGGACACTTGCCCCATTTATTACCCCTGTTTAATTTAATTTAATTTTGATAATTCATTTGCTCTCATTCATTAGACTGGACCAATGATATATTTTTTAATCTTTACTTATTTTTAAAAGTTAAATTATTCAAATATATTTAGTAAACTAAAGTTTTTATTATTTATCATATTTTTTAGATGATTTTAATTGTCATTTTCTATTAGAACTAATGAAATTTAGTGAAATTTTTCATTTAAAGTACTGAATTTAAAAAAAAAAAAATTAAACAGAGCAGGCAGGACCCATTACCCGTCTCCACCCTGTCCCCGGCTCGAATACACGGGGCAAGGCCCCACGGATATCGAGTTGTCGGATTTTTTTGCCATCCCTATACAGTATCACAAATCCTTCGCTCCATGTTACACATTCATTAGACCAAAACATGAAAACAATAGAAAAGTTAGCTAAATTCAGATCCTAGCTAACAATACACGTTGCAACAAATTATCATGCCGTAAATGGTAAATGGAACATCTATCAACACCAACGATCAAAAATTAACTACAAAAGTCACAATTTCCACGATACCTTAATTTGTCCTAAAATTCGTCTCAATGGCTAGCTAATGTTTTCACCTCACAACCATACGAAAAGAAGATGGAGAAATTACCGAGTCATTTAGATTTCACCAAGATATATCTGCTTATCACTACTGCAAGAGCCAATGATACGTTCACTGGGATGGGATGGAGAAATTACCGAGTCATTTAGATTTCACCAAGATATATCTGCTTATCACTACTGCAAGAGCCAATGATACGTTCACTGGGATGGAAGACACACTCATTAACTGATCCAGTATGGCCTGGAAGCTTATACAATATGCGACGAGAAGTTGTATCCCATATGTAGACCATGCGATCACTACTACCAGCAGTAACCTTGCTTCCATCGGGTGACCAACCACATTTCAGCAAGTTCTTCTCAAAATTGTGCTGGTGCCCTTCCAAAATCTTCACACAGCGATTTTGGGGTGCATAGGGGCGCATGTCCCATATTCGAAGAGTGTTGTCCATGCTATTAGTCAGAAGGTAAGAACCATCTGGACTCAATTGCATTCCAGTTAACATATCTTGATGTCCTTGGAGCTTCATAATAACCTCACTTCTCCGAATATCCCACACTTTTACATCATTGTCAACGCCACCAGTGTAAATCTTATCAGATGCATCGGAGAAACTGACTGCTGTAATCTGGTATTTATCCGGAAAATTCTGTATGGATCCCCTTTGTCTCATATCCCACAGTTTTGCAGTCCCATCATCCGACCCACTGACAATAAGAGGTGGGCCCCTTCGAGCGGGACAACAAGAATTCACAAAAGACGAGTGCTCCATCATCTTTTTTATTTGTTTCCCTGTCTCAACATCCCATGCTCTTAAAGTCTTATCTGGGCTGGCCGATATTATTTGTGTGCCATCAGTAGTCCACTGCACTTCCAACACAGCATTTTTGTGCCCTTTCAAGAACATGAAGTTCTTGCAATCACCATGTACATTCCACAAGAATATCTCCTTATCATGTGAACCAGATGCAACGACAGTCCCTGCTGGATTGAATTTCATTGAGTAGACTGCACTTTGGTGTCCAGTTAGCAACATGATTGGTGACTCCAAGCTCGAAGTCCGCTGTTTCCCATTTTGTCCGGGCACTGGTGGGCCGCCACTATATATCATAGTTGACAACTCTGTCGGCCTTGGACCAAAGAATGAATCGCTCATTTGTTATTGACTAAAATTTAAAAAGTTCTCCAATACAATCATTATCATTACAGATGAAGATGCACATATATACATGTATGGATTTTGCTAGCCTACTACACGAAGGTTAGTAGGATTTGTTCGAATAATTTTGGACACAACTTACTCGTGACAATTAAAACAACTACATTGTGGCCACAGGCAGCATCTATCCATCCATTTGTATCTGTGTCTATATATATTTATATTAGAGAGAGAGATGGAGAGAGAGAGAGAGCATATTTAACACTGTAAGTGATTGCGCATCACAAATAGGAATAGAAGATTGTGAGTTAAAAGAGAACTTTAGGAAGGATAAGGAGAGATTTGTGCGATTTAAATTACAGGGGAGAAAAGAGACTCCTCAACTAATATGTAGGAAAGATACAAGGTTTTGATACAATGAATAGTGGATTTGGTTTTAAAATTAAAAATGATGCTAATGTATATTTTATTAGTTTGACTCGAGATCTTATAGTAACAAACACCATGTTCATAGGACTTTCATCATTCCTCTACACTTCTTTGGACATTACACTCATTAAGCACTCAACTAACACATTAAATATAGATCAAACAATTGACTTCCATTAACCCTGGTCATCCTTTTGACTACCTTTCCAGAAATAACAAGAAGCAGACCTTTCTATCATTTCTTGATGTTAACTCCTTTCATTTCTTCAATAAACCTTTGATGGTATCCAACTGGCAGTCACCATGTTCCATCAGATTGAAAATACCTAAATCTGAAGGCTTTTATAATTATGCTCAATAATTTAGACGGAAAGATATCAAAGATGATATTCTGGTCTGGTAAAATGGTGGACTGCGACTTTAATTTTGCGGGATTGGCAAATCCCGATAAGAACAAAAGAATTTTTTTAATAAATATAAGATTAGCGATATAACATATAATCAAATATTCAGACATTAAGAAACAACTACATAAATTGAAGAGACGTAATGAAATTGATATCAAATAAAACAAGACGGGATAGAAGGGTGCAAATGCATAATCGTAGAAAAAGCAACGGCAGTGTCAACAAAAAAATCTACCTCACCAACACCTCAAAGTTATTCAATCTCGGAACCTGAGCCCGTCAACATATCCGAAACTATCACCGGCTGTTAAACCTAGTGCAAACTAGAAAAAAATTAAAACAAAACTACCAACACCAACCGTCTGGTAGCCCAAAAATGATTTTTTATCATTTTCACTAAGTTTGTTCCCTCCATAGTCGTGTAAATACTCTTTAGGCCAAACAACACCCTAATAACAATAAATACTTTCTTCTTGTTCATCACCCAACAATTCTAAAAATCTTAAACATCCTCGCATCATTTCTACGTCCTCTGACTACTTCTCATCAGCCTCCTTTACTTTCACCGCTTCCCTCATCCTCCTTCCCACTCTTCTAGTGCCCCAAGTATTTGCTGAAGCAAAGCACTTGCATCATCAAGTCAAATCCACATGCAATACAATATAAACTACGGAAGTGTCAGAAAACTAAATTTGGTCAAACGAAGCTGTTTTCTATATGTATAATTAGGAAACAGTAGACTTTCTATTGTAGCGCTAACGGTGCTGAAATTGCAAAAAATGGAGCAATATCAGCAATATATGTAGGAGCAGAAGAAGAATAAAAGAGAAGAGTGACTTATCTCAAAAAATATTAGGTACATTTGCTCACAATATATTGAAAGTTTATGACATTTCAGTCTTATTTTTAGAGGCGTCGGGGAAAATATTAAGCATGTTTCTGTCCTACTATCTTCATTCTAGTAGGTTAGCGAAAGCCACACCAATTTTGCATTAGCAGCCATCTCCTAGTGTTTTCCTTTACTATCAAACTCGCAAAAATCATGAGTTCTCCTCTATTTTCCCCTTAAAACCACATAGAAACAGAAGCATAAGCCAGAGTACATCCAATAAAATCCAGACAGAGACACTTTCTCCATCTAAAAAATGTAAAATTAGGATTTTCTAAATATAATTAAACTGAAACAGAACACAAATACCATGAGAAACTGAGCAAACAAAAAAAAAACGACAAATAATCACAGTTAGTATTTCAAGTTTCCCCCACTTAAAACAAATAAAATTTTGAAATGATCAATTCCTAGTTTTATCGCTCACATTGACATTTTCAGAACATATAGTAACAAATATATTTGAAAGGAACTTAGAGGAGAAAAATGTATTACGCGATATCAATCGGATGCAATTGAAATTTCAAACTACCTGCTTCACTTCCTAGTATTAAAGGGACTGCGCAAAGTCCAAAATATTGCGCCAATTTGGGGAAAATGAATCGCAATCGTTTATAAAGAGGACTTCAATTACTTTTTAGGTAACATAAATAATTTAGAAAAAAAATCGTTCAAAATCATGAAATCGTACCTCCTTGTTGAAAAACTGGGCTAGGGTTCTTCCAGAAGCTTCCCACGAGTTGAAGGTTGTAACAGAGAAAGACCCCCGGCCAAGGGGACACCTCCGTACACGGTTATCCTTTATTAAATTATAATTCATTTTTCTCGCTTTTTATTAATCATGTGTTCCTCAAACAAAATAATATTCCACATAAATTCAAAAAAAATTCCTTTTCTCAATTATACGTTTTTCAGAAATATACTATTATTCTCGTTATAACATGAAATAATGGGGTTAAAGATCGTTTAACTTTTCAATTCAAAAATAAGGTATAAAAGTTTTTTATTCAAAAATTAGGTGAGATTTAAAATTTTAATACTAATAATAATATTATAAGATTAAATTAACATACATACGCACTCCCCAACCCGACCCGATCCGATCCGATCCGATTCGATTTTCACTCCCAAACTCTAATCACTTTCCCCTTCTCCTCTCCCTTTTATCACACTAGAAGGAGCATCGCTACAACAGCTACATCGACAACGATGATTGTTATATCGTACACAACAATGGCGTGAGAGTCGCTCCAACGGCAACGTCGCTACTGTGAGATATTTAAATATAGTAATATTAATTTGACCTTTATTAATTTGATATATTTAATTTTTTTTTATTAATAACCTTTATATATTTGACCTTTAGCCCTGTTTGACAATCATGGAAACGAGTTTTTATGAGAAAAATAAGTTTTACGAAGTCAAATGGACACAAAACTTTCTACATTTTCCATAGAAAAATTTACCAATCAAACACAATTAATTACAATTCTCAGTAAAACATTTTCTAGGAAAATCAATTCCCTGTAAAACATTTTCTTTCAACCCATTTTCCACCCTTACAATCAAACGCACTCTAAGAGAAAAATCTTTCATTCTTGTACTTACTTTTGATTATTATTTAATTTGAATAATCCAAAGGTTTCGACCATTTTTGTAAAATGATAGAATTATTCATATTTGACCATATGTGCAAAAAAAATTTAAAAGTAGCTCTAATGAAAATGAACAAATAGTTTTTGGCTACTTTTGAAAACTTCCATTTTAATTGTTTTTTATTCTCCTGACATTTAATTACTATTATATTTATATTTTAAAATTAATTTTTTCTTCATACATGTATCCCCTTCATAAATTAGCACTCAATCGATATTTTCGCTGCATTAGTTAAATAATTCTTTATTTTATTTTCACACAAAAATATCTATTATTATTAGTTGTATTTATATTTATAATTATATGAAGCTTTCTCGCAGTCGCATAAAAGAAAAAAATCATCTGCAACAGATTTCAATAAAACCCAAATTAAATTTTTATTTTATTTATTATTTTCTTTTGTGATGCAAAATAACCCAAATTAAAATGAATAAAAATTGATTTTTAAATACAAATAACTAATATAAAAAATTGTTTGGATTGATTTTTTATTCGTTAATTGAGATATATTATTATTTAGAAGATAGTAATTAAGAACTTTATTTGTTGTTAAAATAGAGTGTTTTCTATATATTTTTTAATATTTTATTAACTTACTACAATTAATATTATTAATTTTATGTTCGAGTTTAAGAAAATATGATAATAACTTTTAAATCTCACACACGAGAAAGATCATCCTCTAAGGAAAAAATGGAAAAATAAAAATAAAAAATCAATAATTAAAACACAGTATGCAAAGTGTTATATAAGGAAAGACAGAGGGTGTAATTTATTATTTAAGGGTATTTACGTTTGTTCAACTATTTATAATGACGGCCCCGTTTGATAGCATACATTTTCCATGAAAATTTTATATTTTCCAACTTTTACAGTGTTTGATAGGCAAAATTTTCCTGTGAAAATGTTTTCCAACTTTCCAAATTTTCCACATTTTTGAGGAAAATAAATTCTTGATATTGGTGGATAAATATTTTACATGTTTTGTTGTTTTTTTTTGGTAAGTGAAAAAAATTCTAGACACAATGGTAAAAAAAATTTCACTTTTATTGACAATTTTCATGAAAAATAAAGCCAAACAAATGATATTCGATATGATTATTTTTTTTTTCAATTTTTTTTAGCAATTGGAACAAATTCTAGACCCAATGGTAGAAAATATTGTTACTTTAATGAGCAATTTTCATAAAAAGCTAAGCCAAACAGACACCAAATTTTTAACATTTTCCATGAAATTATATCAATCAAAAACAATTAATTACAATTCCCAATAAAATAATTTCAAGACAAATCAATTTCCTATAAAATATTTTCTTTTCATCTATTTTTCACATTTGCAATCAAACGTATCCGACATTTTTGTAAATTTTTTTTTTTAGCAAATATTGCTTACCGTAATCATTATGCTAAATGGAGTTATGTAGAATTTCAATTTGTAAAAGTGATGTGCAAATTACAATTTTTATTTCTTCGACCACATTTTAATTATACTTAAAGTTATTACTCATTATCGCACTTATCTTCCTAATGATTTTTCACGTCATTCATGTTGTCAAACTTTTCATCAACTA